GCAACCCCACCAACATTTGTTATTGTGTGATTTTTTGATAGCAGCCATTCTTTGTGGGGTGAGGTGGAATCTCAGTGTTGTTTTCATCTGCATCTCTCGAATGACCAGTGATGTGGAACATTTTTTCATATACTTACTTGCTGCTTTTACTTCTTTGTCTGAGAAATGTCTGTTCATTTCAGATGCCCATTTTTGAATCGGGTCTTTGTATTTGGGATGGCTGATTATTTTGAGTTCTTTATATATTCTCGATAGTAGTCCTTTGTCTGAGGAGCAGCTGGTAAAAATTTTTTCCTACATTGTAGGTTGTCTCTTAGTTCTGTTGATGGTTTCTTTTGCAATGCAGGAGCTTTTTAATAAGATGAGATCCCAGTTGTTGATTCTTTCTGCTAATTCCTGTGTTACTGAGGATTTGTTCATAAAATCTTTTCCTATGCCAATGTCTTGAAGAGTTCTGCCTAACTTATCTTTAAGCAAGTTTAGTGTTTCTGTTTTAATATTTAGATCTTTCATCCACTTGGATTTAAATTTAGTGCATGGTGAGAGATAAGGGTCTAGTTTTAATCTTTGGCAGGCTGAGATCCAGTTTTTCCAACACCATTTATTCAAGAGACTATCTTTCCTCTAGTGGGGATGCTCAGTACCTTTGTCAAAGATGAGTTAGCTGAGTACATCTGGATTTGTTTTTGTCTTCCAGTCTGTTCCACTGATCCTCAGGTCTGTTTCTTTGCCAGGACCATGCTGTTTTTATCATAGTGGCTTTGTAGTATAGTTTCAAATTGGGAATTTTTATACCTGCTCCCATGTCTGTTGCCTAGGATGGCTTTTGCTATTCTAGGTCTTTTACAGTTCCAAATGAATTTTTGGATTCTTTTTTCTAGTAGAACTCTTGAAGACATAGGTGTAGGCAAAGACTTTGTGACTAAAACCCCAATTGAACAGGAAATATCACAAAGAATCAACAAGTGGAACCTTGTCTTATTAAGTAGCTTTGTTCAGCAAAAGAAACCACCAACAAAGTGAGGAAAAAACCTACATTGTGAGAAAAATTTTGCCACCTGTTCCTCAGACAAAGGGCTAATATCTAAAAATATAAAGAACTCAAAAAGTTTAGATACCCCCAATTTAAAGACCCATTGAGAAAATGAGCATCTGAAACGAAGACACACTTCTTAGATGAAGTAGAAAGGCAAATTAATATATGAAAAAGTTTAACATCACTGGTAAAGAAATGTGAATGAAACCAACAATGAGATTCCATTTTATTCCAGAAAGAATGGCTAACATCAATAAACCAACCAATAATACATGCTGGCAGTGCTGTAGGGAAAAAGGAACTCTTCTCTACTGTTGGTGAGGGTGGTTGAAATCAGTATACAGATGCCTCAAAAAACTAAAACTAGGTATTCCTTTGGACTCAGCTATTCTTGCTCTTGGTACCTTCCCCAAAGAAGTAAAAGCATCAAACTACAGCAATATATGCACACCCATGTTTACAGTACCAGTGTTTACAGTAGCTAAATCTTGGGAATAGGACAAATGGTATCAACCAATGAATGAAGGAAGAAAATGTGGGGTGTTTTTTAATAAAACAGAGGATTACTCTGCCATAAAGACAGATAAATGTGAGACATTTCTAGGCAAATGGATACATCCTGACACCACACTCTTAAGTGAAATAAATCAGACATATGTGTTCAAATATCACATGGTTCCTCTGATGTGAGAAACCAAAAGTGTAAATTAGTACCAAAATGTATAATAGATATTGTGAAATAGAAAATGTTCAAATGAGCCAGGTGTGGTGGTGCACTCCTGTAATCCCAGCACTCGGGAGGCTGAGGCAGGATGATTGCTGTGAGTTCGAGACCAGCCTGGGCTACATAGTGAGTTCCAGGTCAGTCTAAATTACATAGTGAGAACCTGATTCAAAAAACCATAAAAAAATGTTCAAAAGGCAAGGGGAACTACGGTGGGGGGACCAGTGAAGAAAGGAAGGGAAAAGAAAGAGAATAGAAGGAAAAATGGAAACAAAGCATTCCTAAATAAGGATGGGAAGAAGGGTTGAAGGGAGGGGAGAGCAAGGGGACAAAAAAAAAGAAAAATGAAGCTACATAATGTGCAGGTAACAAAACCATATGATAAATGTTATAATTATGTATATTTAAAACATACCAATAAAATTAATTTTTAAAAAGAATGTTACAGTACTTAATGATGTTTAATAATCAGAATTGATTTCAGTGTGACAATGCATTTCCTCTAATATTATGCTGGAATGAATAGTGTGCACCAAAAAGATATGTCTGTGATGTTAATCTTTAGAGCCTGTGAATATTAACTTACAAGGCCAAAGATGAGACTACTAAGTTTTTTTTTTTCAGTAGAAGGGACAGAACCTAGGGCCTTGCACACACTAGGTGAGCACTCTGCCACTGAGCTATACCACAGCTGGGTATGTTAAAGATTTTCAGAGGAGGAATGTGCCCTGTATTATATGGGTAGACCCTTAATGCAATTACATATATTCTTATAAGAAAATCTTCAACATCACTGGTAAACAGATGCCAATGAAAACAAGACTGAGATTCCAGAAAGAATGGCTGTCATCAATAAACCAACCAATAATAAAGGCTGGCAGTGCTGCAGGGAAAAAGAAACTCTTCTCTACTGTTGAGGGAGTCTGAGGCAGACAGAACAAATTCAAGTTCAACCTGGACAATTTAGCAAGACCATGTCTCAAAAAACAAACAAAAATGGTTGGGGGGAGGGCAGGGACAAGGGGAAAAAATGAGAACCAAGACATGTCATGTAGAGGTACAAATTCCCAACAATGAATGTAACTGTACTGTATCCCTAAAATGTACCAAAAAACTCAATTAATGCTAAAAAAGGGGGGGTGGGGATGTAGCTCTATGTTAGTAAACCCATACACACATCATTAAATCCCTGGTAGTGCCAAAAAGGGGGCCAGGTTCTGTTTTAGAAACTCCAGAGAAAAACTTTGGTTACGTCAACACATGACACCAGGACTCCAAAATTGTGATAGATAGATAGATAGATAGATAGATAGATAGATAGATAGATAGATAGATAGATAGATTCATTGCTGGTGATTAAACCCAGAGCCTTACCATTGCTATATTCCAATCCATATTTTTTATTTTTATTTTGCATTTTTCATTTGAGACATAGGTTTGTTAAATTGCTAAGTTCCCCAGACGGGGTTAGAGCTTGTGATCCTCCTGCCTCAGTCCCCCAGAGTGCTGGGATTACAAGAGCATATAACCATACCAAGCTGAAAGATAAGTTTTCATTGTTTAGATCCACCTAGTTGGTAGAAATTTGTTATGGAAGCCCTAGAAACTAATATAATTATACTCACAACACTTTCTTTTTTGTTGTTGGGTTTTTGTTTGTTTGTATGTTTGTTTGCTTGTTTTTATTTAGAGGCAGGGTCTCGCTATGCAGTTCAGGCTGCCCTTGAACTCACTATGTAGCCCAGGCTGGCCTTGAACTCATGACAGTCCTCCTGACTCAGCCTCCCCAGTGCTGGGACTACAGGCATATGCTACCAGGCCCCACCTCACAGCACTTTCTTGATTTGTCTTTGCCTTTTACATGAATTTCATATTTTAATGGACTTTCCCATTACTGAAATATTGTACCAAAAGAGAAGCATAAAGTAGCAAGCAAAGAAAACTTAAATGAATAGTCACATTCTCTACCATTGAATGATACTTACATATGTACACAGTTTTCATACTTTAATGACCACCAAAGGCCAGCAGATACCACAACCAAAGTTTTGCCATTGAACCCATGTTGAACCATCAACATAGGAGGTAGGCATGGTGGCATATGCCTATAAGGACAGCATTCTTGGTGGCTG